CATATGACATTAACCTCTTTGAAATGATTTCCCTTTACTTAATTCATGCTGTAGAATCTTAGCACCCCTTTAACAGAAATAATCAAATGAACATATGAATTAACATATGGTTGTTTCCTGTACAGTTAAACTGTGAGGTGAACCAAAATCAGAATGCTTTCCTCCTCATCATACACAATGAGAGCAGATTTCAATGTGGTTAGAGGAAGAGCAATTGTGAAAGGCTGTATGGAATGTGGATGCAATACACGGAGAGATCCATCAAAAAGAGAGATACCAGGTAACATTCACAACTGCGAAAAACATGAATCTCTTTGAGACTGTTTGTGGAGAAAGAATTTATAGTTTCCTTTTTTCTTTTCATTGCATTCTCAATGTAGGTATTTGAAAATATTCAAAGACAAACAATAAATCATATCCAAAACCTAAATGTGTTTTTGCACAGATACTCTTTGTTTATAAATTGTACTCTGTGTGTGTGTGTGTGTGTAAAACATAAGAAAAAATGTACTATATGTAAAATGTGATGGGAAGAATTGCCTATCACAACTGATATCTCTACAAAAACAAAACATCCAAGAAAAATTTGAAACCCTAAAAATTGATTTTATTGGATCATTCTTACTATTTTAATGTTGAGCATCCACAGCTATTAGGAAACATTTTTGATAGTGAATTAAATGTACTTCCATATTTTATAACTATGCAAAATTAATATGTCCATAAATGAGCTTAATATTACTATTTTGTGTTAGAAGAGATTCAGTTTAGGTTGGATAGATCATTATCCATTCCCATGTGACTTTGTGTAGCATCAGTAATGAGGTATATAATAAGATACAATAGACACAATTGTGACAAAATAATTAGGACACAGTATTAGTAGATGTAGTTAACACAGAGTTTTGCCAGTGATGGTTTAACTTCAGACATGTATTTCCATCAGGTTTCACGTGTAATAAAGAGAAACAAAATAATTTCTGTTCATTGTATCTTTGAAAGAGATAATGTGAAGGTAGTGTTTGCATTCTATTAAAATAGTGACTAAATATTGTTTTTCAGAATGTGTGATAGGATAGTAAAGGATGATCATTTTAAGGTCTGTAGTGATTAAAAAGAATAAAAACATGATGTCAATATGAAGTGGAATAAGATACCTCTAAACTTTTGGTTCCATCCAACAATCTTAGTGAGTAGGGAGTAATGACTTCAATAGCATAAGGGTTTTGATTTATTTACTTACTTTGGATTATATGTGCTTGAACTGGGTTGGTATTTTTGTTTTCTAAGAGGAGTATGTAATACTCTCACCTTTGATGAAATTTATGGAAGGATAAAAGATAATTTTGTTCACATTTTATGAACTCAGATGTATTGTTTTGACCATTTTTGCAAATAATATATTAGTGTTTTGTTTTTGCTTTATACTTTCTGATAATGCAAGAAAACTGAAAAAAATGAAAGAAATATGTTATAAAAATATTCGTAATTTTGTGTCTGATAATAATTATAGGAAACATAGACCTTTGACTTAGTCCCCAGCTATTAAGACTATGACTTTGTATCCTTAATAATTAGGTACATTACTTTTCTCCTTTTTTTGGTAAAAATATCTTACTACTTATTAAACTAAAATGTAAATGGATTTGATTTTAACATTGCTCAAATATACAAGTATGTTTAGTTGACTTAAATAGCAGAACAAAAATTATTATAGTCTCAGTTAAATATGAAAAAAATACCATCCATACTGAGGACTTTTTATTTAAATTAAAATTACAATAGAATATAAAAAAGTATATTTCCTACTTGTTGATGTAACTCTCAGATAGATATGTGATATGCTCTCCATATCTACATGAGCTTTCATCCTTAATGGTTTTGATTTCATGTTAATATTCCAAATTTTTCTATTAGTTATAATCTACCTGTTATTTCTTCAGGATTTTTTGCTATATATCTTCAAAATTGTATACTAATTAAAGGTAGATGAAGTTAAGGTGTAAAAATTATCCAGATACTTTGAGTTGCATAATCGATATTAATGGCTAATAATGAAATTAATGGCTAATAATGAAAGAATTTGGGTAGGAATGGATTTGGTGTGAGTAAGAAGGTTAGGGCTGGGAGGCCTGGTTGGAATGAAGGACTCGCCCCGTATTTCATATAAATTTATGCTTCTGAAAAATCATGAACCTTTATGGTTCACCCAAGGACTTCAAAACCAGACACACCTTCAGTGTGTGTTCTAGAATTCTGACTAAGAACTAAGTTGTACCACACAATTAGAGAGATACAATGTAGTTCATCGGTCAAAAGCTTTTCTGAATCCCAAACAATGATAAGGAATAAAGCTAAAAACCTATTTGAATTCATTTTTATTCTAAGTTGACATCATAGTGACTATATCTGTAAAAACAATTATTTATCCAAGATCCATTCACTCATATGTAAAAGGTGAAATATGTTTGTTTAGAAAATACCAATTTTGATCCTTTAAAATTTATTGAGTGAATTTTCCTACAGTCTAAAAACAATCCCCAAAGATGGTTACCATCACAATTTAAACCTAGAGTTAGAAATTAATACAAAATAGTTTTAATGATGCCAAATATTGCCTGTTAGAAACGTATAGTAATATTACATTCAGTTAGCTTTATGTTTATTATTTTTCTACATTAAAATGAAGCATATAAAATAATATAGCTCTATTAGTATTGTTAAAAGTTTTACTGAATTTATATTATGCATGAAAGTAATAATATAGCATATATAACTGAGTATAAAGATCTTCTTTAATATGGTCACTGTTCATACCATTTTAATATAGTTTAAGAATTATCAATGAATAAATCACATAAACCCAAGTCACTGTTTTGTGAAACAAAACAAGTTGTGAAAGCATAGACTCAGTTACAATTTATTTCATTTTTCTGTTTTCCCAACTTTTTTCAAAATGAGTAAAATTTTGTATATTATAAAATCTTAATATTTTAATTAACAGAAAAATATTTGCTGTGAGCTACGTTGTAGAAGGCAAAACAAAATAATGGCCCAAAATATATCTCTTTAAAAATAGAATGTCCAGGTAAAACACATCTCAGCTTACATTCACCGTTCATGCAATTTATTCATTCTATGTTTTATTCTATACTTTTAGAAATGGTTTTAAGAGTCTATGCAATAAGCTCTTAATGTTATAATGAGCACCCATAAAAATTAACTTTAATTCAGTAAGCATGCTTTGATATTCTGATATTTAAATTTTTAACTATTAAAATAGTTATAATACAAATCTCTTATTTCAAACCTCCAGTTTATACTGGAAGTGGAAAGTTTATAAACCATGCTATTAATAGACACGGATATTTAAATGATACAAGAGAATCATGTGTTGAGAGTTAGTAATTAAATAAAGATTAGAAAATATGGGGCCTTATTCAATATAAAATATATTGATATATGATACTTCATTTTAAGGAAATAACCTGATTAAAAATAATGCTGTTTTAACTTCTGTAAACTAACTCATGGCATTGGATAATTGTCTGTGTTGTTTTCACTTCCTTCTCTAATTACCTGTGACCACAAAGCCATATTTTAAAAGCACATTTGCCAGTTCTACACATAAGAAGCAACTCAGTAGTAGAATGGAGGATCAAAGAGAGAAATCAGCTATGATACTTTTAAAGAATCATAAATGTAAATTTTAAGTAAGGTTTCCACTAGGTCAAGAAATGTGTGAGAACACTGAGCCATAAATTACTCAGGAATTAGTTACTCAGGATGAGTTTGAAGTCTACAGTTAGTGTGGCAGACAATGGTTGATTAAGCTCAGGATTAACCATTAAAGGAGACATTGCAGAGCATAATTTCATATGTGCAAGAAAACGTATTAATAATCCACAAATTTAAATGCGAATTGGACATGCTATTTTTAGCACCTATTTCTGATATATCTATACCAAAAACTATTATTAGACATTAGTTTTTTTAATTGTCAAGAACAATCTGAGCTGTTGAAAGGAGCATGAATAGATGCTTCATCACAACTCCTCTGTATGTTTTATCCTGGAAACTCTTACATTTAATACATAATTTTACTTCTGTTTCACAACCTAGTCCACACTTTCAGGAAAGCTCAGTTGCACTTCTTTATCCATAGATAGCTCTTAATTATATCTCCATTCCCTAGTCCCCTCAAAAAGAAGTTTGCAAAGGGATATTGGTCAAGTTGAAGTAACAAATTCTCTTGACTTGAAAGAGTTATGAATCTTAAGAAATAATATAGAAATCTCTACATTTTCTTAACTCTGTTTTTATGTTTTCTTTGTAACACACTCTATGATTCAAATGCAATGCAAACATTTCAGGTTTAGGGGGGAAGGTATATAAATACAGCTAGCGACAACAAACAATGAAAATTCCATTAGTTCAATAATTATATATATACATATATACATATATATTTGTAACTAGACGTGGAAAGTAGATAGAAGGCAAATGAAATAAATCCAAATTGATTACTGCTTTTTTAACTGTGTATTGTGTTTAACCAGATAGTGAAGCATGATACCCCCAGAAGTAGATTTTATCACTTTCTTAAAATACTAAGAATAGAGTTTAAAGACCCTTCCTGGGGACAGGCGAGGGAAGGAGAACCGAGGAACGTTTTCCAATTGTCAAGCTCAAGCTTAGTTAACAGTAGAGCTAATTTTAAAAGCATGTTCCGTGATTAGGGCATTTGTTCTGAAATTTATCTTTTAATTCATTTAGTTGTTTTTTTTTTAAAAAAATGTTTAACCTCACTGCAAGTATGCTACATAGTAGTAATAGATTTTATTTGCACTTTCGGGTAACATGTAGTAGTTTCCCTAACATGTGGAATGCTGTTTATCATTTGTTCAATGCCACTTTACTAAACTCTTGTTAGAAATACTGTCAAACAACATGAAAGACACTTCTCGAATAAATCTCTTTCTTTTGAATAATGCACTTACCCAGCACAGCTCCTAAGAAAATTCCTGATGAAAGAGACAGGATGGAATTTGACTTTCTGAGATTCCGCAGACAGATTTATCCCCAGGCAAGGTGGAGAAGAGGCAAAGCCTTGCAATGTGATCCTGCCAGCAGAGTGAACTCCAGTCAAGCAGAGCTTGAAGGTCCCAAAGCAGGAGGTGACACTCTCTGCTGGAGACAAAGGTTGTTCTGGGTAGATTGGAAGTGTTGTCAGATTGTAAGTGATCAGCAGCAGAAGGGAAACATCAGGGCTTCCTGTTACATCACTGACCCCGCCTGCAGTTAGTGTTAGGTTACTTTCTTTCTCAAATAGCATACCCCAGGAAAGCAGCAGCACTCCCTTCTTATTCTGAAACAAGAGCAAGAAGCAGCCTGAACAGACAGAGATCATTTGCTGTATGAATACATTGTTAGCAGCAAAAGCTGGCTGGCTTTCACCTTAACTTAGTTCTGTTGGAACTTGCCAGAGCTGCTTGTGATTTAAAGGAAATCTGAATATAAAACAATCAAATGAGTTGTGTGTGGGTGTGTGAGGGGGGTTGAATTAGAGTTTACAAAGCATCCAGAAGACAAACAAAACAAACAAAAAAAAAAGCTAACATTTTTTCTTCATAAATGAGCATGGAAAAAACATCATTCAATTTATTCCTGTGATCTGACTCATTAATTTGAAACTGTGATAAGCATTCGTACTCCAATCAATTTTACACAATTGCACCAGGAAACTCTATCTCCTAGACTTTAAATGTTTTTTTTAATCCATGTTCACAAATTAAGTATATGTCTATGTATCATAAAAACAATGCAAGCATGCATAGAGCATATTATTTCCATTGCTAAGCATTTAATATTTATTAAAAAATGACCAGCCCAGAAGAACTTATTTTAAGTTATTACATTTATCTCATATTTTATGAAATTATGTCACTGTAATATGACAATGTTTGTTTTAGAATAACTTTAAAATGTGGATATTTTATAACATGTTATAAAATAAGGTATGTGATATCATTTTTTTATTTTATCTCAAAATATAATTGTATCTTGAATATATTTTATGAATCATTTAATGTGGAAAAAGTTCTAAAGTTGAAATACATTTAACAGTTTTTATATGTGGTACAGTGCAACGTACATTGACAATTACAACTCTTGAAACCATAGCAACACCGAAACTCATTTCATGTGGGCAATAGCTTCTTTCATGTATAAACTAGAAAACATATGTAAAATTGTACGTAAAAACCAAAATGCATTCCATAGCATTTAGAGATCGTGAGGATGGTATAGTGGTCATTCAAAGATTACTGAATTCAGATCAGAGACAGAGAATTCCTGAGGTTGAAAAGCCTATGTTTCTGGTAGACTAACAAAAGGCCACATAAGTTAAAGAACCTCATGTTTTTGAAACAATGTGATATTGGGGAGATGGGAAATTACGAGTTAAATTGTCAAGGTAGAGAAAAAGAATTGTTGAGCTGTGCTTTTTTTTAACCTGTTTTTTTTTAATTCCATCTATGAAAGAAAAAGCAACATTATACATTATTATTTACAATTATTGACAAATGATGACTTCTCAGTCTGGAAGCCATGGTGATATTCCTAGTCGCAAGCATTGTTGGATTCTGATCTGGAATTAGTACTGTTTCAAGAACCCACTAAGGAAGAAATAGACTGGGCCTGACAAAGGGATATGAAGTTCTTGAACCAGAATTTCTGGTGTGATCTTTTCACACCAGAATTTTGGTGTTCTATCTCAAAATTCACAGCAAAATAAGACATTAGATTTTACCATCAAAAGAGCCAAAGTCTACATCTTCACACCTACCATGCTGAGTCTAATATTGAACATTTATTCTTAAATTATTGGTTAAACACATAGGACTATGGTTGTAATCTATGAAGACTCTCAGGTCATTTTGATGAATACTATCTCTATGCCTTCCTTAAAAGTAGCAGGAAACCTGAATCTTAATAACTGGATCATTGCAGAGTTATCCTTTTGGAGGACTAATATGAACGTAGGGCAAGTAAAAAGATAGATGAAGGAAACTTCTCCAATACCCCTTAAACATAACCACAAATACTAGAAAAACTGTCACAGACATAAATTAGTTTGCATATCAATTCACTGATTTTGAGCCACAATGTTAACATTATTTAACCACATAAAATCAGCTGGAGATACAATGTTCTTTGTATTATTGTGTTTAAAATACAAGCTATCATAAATATAATATTTATATCTATTATAATCTTCATACTACAGCTAATTGCAGTAACTCAATAAGAAGTAATAAAGCATATTTTGAGCTTAACAATGCGCAGACTGTATTTCAAGGGAAAACTAAGATGTTCTTTTATAGCACAGAGCAAGAGGAATCAAGTGGCAAATTCTTTGTAATTAGCAGCTGGAGCTGCCAGCCCAGGGTCTGGATGGCCACTGTCAATGGATTTTCTGAGGAAGTGAAGCAGGAGGACATGTGAAGAGGGGTATTTATAAGCATCTGTCCTTGTTTGTCCACTGAGAATATATCTACCTCCTGGCATCATCTATTCCTACCTTTGTAGCATGGTCTTGGGCTCACAAGTTTAGGTTACTATGTGAATTTTTCCTTGAGAAGGATGGCAACTCAAAGACTCTAGTTTTGGGGGTTTTGTTTGTTTGTTTTTCTTAATGTATTGATTAGTCAAATAAAATAAGGTGATTGACAGTTTTTCTGCTGAATAAGCTCACCATTTAATTAAGAATTTGTGTGGGGAATGCCTTGAAGCACAATTCTACTACAAAAACCTAACAAAATAAAATTAAAACAACAATTTCTCATATGAAGCATGTTGATAGATCATCCCTGGTAAAAAGTGGAAAAACAAGGAATTAAGGAAAGCACTTTAAAAATACTTTTATGGGCATTACATGATGGTTTATCTTTGTAATCTCAGCTATTCTGGGGGTGGAAGTAGACGACTCACAGTTCCCATCTGGCCCTGGGCAAAAGCATGAGACCCTATCTGAAAAAAAAGTAAAACCATGAGGCTTGAGAATATATCTCAAATGATAGAGCACTTAAGCACAATGACCTGAGTTTAATTCCCAAGTTCAACTGGAAAAACAAAATTAATGTTTTCAGTTATTATGTACTGCATGAATAAGTCTTCTATATTTGTAATAATCTGAAACTCATTTCTTATATTGGGGTGACTTGTACTTACCAAAATTATGTACATCTTACCTTATTAAAATTCATGAATAATCTGAGAAGAAACACATAATTCTTACAATGTTACATCAAAAACATTCTAGCAAGGATGTAAGTTGACCTGGTACATTATTATTTTACCTAGCAATTGATATTTATTTATTTATTTAAAGCACAGCAAAATGAGTTTACAGTTGGTAAGAAGAATCTGTATACAAATGTCTGGGTCCTGAGAGTGAATACACTGATGTCTATTACACAAACTAAAGGGCTAATCTTCACTATTGTTATGTGCACAATTTTTATTTCAGGGAAACAATATTGTTTTAAAAGATTTACTATAAATGAAAAATATAAAAAGTGCAGGTGACTAAACATAAAATAGTTTGTATGTGGTCCACATATAGATAAATGAAACCTATTTTGCAAGTCTATAAATAGAATTTCTTTTAGTATTTTTAAAATGTGTTTCCTCAGGAAGAGTCAAATTGCATTGAAAAACACTTGTTAAATATTTACCTATTTTTAAAGCCTGGCTCGTGGTAAGTTCTTATGGAATTGGGTCTTCCAGAGAACTCAGGATTAACTGTTAGTTGGAAAGTGCTATTACTGCCAAACGAGATGTATAAGTTAACAACAGTGCATTTAAAATGCAGCAACATTATCAATTCTGTTTAAATGAGGTATAAAATGAATCAGCATTCTTTGTTAAGATCAACATGTTTCTCCGTTTCTGGGGCAGCCATGGTTTATTCTGGGGCTGCTCGAAGCAATCTGGTTTGGAGGAAAGCTTATGAAAGGTACCCTTGCCATTGGAAACTATACTGGCAAAGGGTAAACAAAAGCTAACAGCAAGTGAATACGTTATTTGGGAAATCTTAATTTCTTTTCCTAGGAGAGCTTATAATAATCTTTTCTATTTTTAGAAAGGTTTTATTTCACATTGAAAAGATGCTTTTTTCATCTGTCAGGTTAAATTTGTTATTTTGTTCTCAAATGCTTCTTTTTTGCTGAATACCAACATTGTTTGCAAAATAAGTTTTATTTAGCATTTTGACATAAGTAGTATTTGAGTAAATGACCAAGACTTATCTATTAAAATAATCTAATCAAAAGATAACAAATAACATTAATGGTTATTTCAATACAGATTGTATTCAACTATTATATTATTCATACAACCGAAAAATTTAGCAGTTGTATTTTCCTCATTTTCTTAAAAGAAACACATACTTGTTATTTTACCACCCCTCTGTATATACAATGTGATTTTTCAAATACAAATGAATGTGAAAAATCATGTATCACATATATTAAAGAATAATTCAATGAATTTGATTCAGGACTCAAAACATTTTCATTAGTGTTGTTTGGTATCTGTAGTCTCATTCTGCCATCTAGTGTTAACTATTTTCAAACTGCAAAAAAAAAGTAGTTAAATTCCTTCAACAACTAAGGAATATCTCTGGGAAAGAATACTGAAGCACTTAATAGAGTTATAATAGGTATACTTATTATATATTTCACCATTAAATTATAATTTTATGTAGTGAAATGAATATATGCTTCATAATAAGTACAAAAAATACTTATGTAAGGTCCGCACCTGGATGGCCAGCAGACTCCACCCTCCTCACAGCAAAATCTCCATCCAGTACCTGCATTACCTAGGCAACTGGGACACCTGGAAGAGGTCACATCTGCATCCGCTGAGGTCACATCTGAATTTGATGTGGCCACACCTTTCTCCGCCCATACCCTAAGGCCTAGCCCAGGCCCAGATGTTCTCTCTCTGCTTTTTTCTAGCTCTTTTCTAGCTCTCTCTGCTCTTTTCTAGCTCTTTTCTCTCTCTTTCCTCTCTTTCCCAGCTCTCTCTCTTTCCCAGGCCTTTCCCAGCCACGTGGAGTGCCAACCTTGCCTGGTCCCAGCAGGTCTACTGAAAAACCTACCCTTTACCTGAATACTACGTGAGTGCTGCTGTTCTTACTCGGCCACCTCTTTTTAAAGACCTAACAACTTAAATATTACATGACATAAACTTAAAATATTAATTAAAGTGATATATCATCTTTTGACACATGTTACATGTGTTTGGAAGTGTGTGTGTGTGTGTGTATGTGTATGTGTCTGTCTGTCTGTCTGTGCATGCATGCATGCATGCACATATTTTTCTCCCAAAAATCTCTGAAGGCTATCATCCTAGGACTGATCAAAATAAAGATGAGGTCTTCAGAAACTTTTAACAGAATAATAAATGTCTCTCATAGATATAAATAAAGGTCCACTTTATATGCAACTATGAAAAATATTGGTATTACAATTATCTTTAATAAAGTCAGTTATTAATTTTTGTTTGGCTTAATACAGACCACATTTCAGACAGTATGTAGTGCATATTCATTATCTCCAAGATTTGTCTCTAAAAACAGTTTCATCACCAAAAATCAAGGTTTTTAAACTATGGTCAGCAACTAAATACAAATGAGTCAGTCATCTACTTTGTGCTAAACCTTTGGATAGGAATTAGGAACACAAAATTTAGCAACAGGGACATTCTCTATTCTCAAGGAATTTCTTTGTTATCATCAGGTAGCCATTTAGAGAAATGCACTTAGTTTTTTTCTCATCTTGTTTCTTGATCTTTTAGTTTTTTTCTCATCTTGTTTCTTGATCATATTGGAATACTCTTAATAACTGAGAGCCACTAGGTCTGAGTAGACAAAATGTCCAGTTCTTATTGCAAAAGAATATGCTTACTGCAGAAAAGCATCTCTAAATATACTAGTTGCATAGTAATCTCAAAGGCCAATTAACAGTCTGTTTCTCGCAGAATCCTACAGAAGCAATATTTGAGAGAAGAATTTTGTGCAAGAAATTCTGTGGACTACAGACCAGAAAAAACAGAGAAAGGGGAGAATAAAATGGAATTAAGAATAATAAGAGAGCAAGTGTATAGTCCCAGCAAAAATATGGATTTAACACAACCCACAGGGATAGGGCTCTGGAACATAAACTGGTTTTCTGAATTTGTCTTCTTGTTATGTAAGGGAATTTGTCTTTAAATTCTGCTTATTAGTTTGTACTCCCATGGGCCCTTCCAGAAGTAAGGAACATTATTTGTTAGGGAAGTGACTACCATCCACTGAGGAAAATTGAGGACAATTCTCCAAGCAACTGAGAAATGAGGCCACCTGTTTTATTATAGAGAATGTGGGAAAGGCACCAAGTGTCCTTCAAATGCTGCATATGGATTTTCCTAAAGTCCTTTGACTACTAGGCATCAACTAGAGGATGTAGAATGGAAGACTTGGAAAATGAGGAAAAGGAATTTATATTAAACATATTATATATATTTATTTTGTGTCTATATATCGTGTGATCTATAGCATGCTTTAAGAATATGATTTATTTTTGGTGCAATGAGAGGAATTTGGCAAGGAAACAACTTCAAAAAGCTTCTCTGAAGAAATATTTCTCTCTTCCTACAAATTACTAGTTAATGTTCACAGGGTTAACCATAGTTGTTTGTGTAGTGTAGCCTTATCATTTCTCATTGTGTCTGTAGATATTCAGTCAGAAGACACACTACTGTCTGAATTATAAGGAAGCACAAAATAAATGCAATTTATATTATATCATCTTATATGCTTTAAGGATCTAATAATGCTACTGAGTTTCTGTTCTATTTTAGGGAAAATTGAGGCAAATAAGTAACTAATGACTGACAATATTTCCCCCAAATCTGACGTATCATGTATTTTCTTTAGCTCTGTGAAGGCTGCAGAGTCAGTATATTTTCGCAACTGGATGCTGGCATAACTGGAACTTAGAGCATAGCATGTTGATTTGGTAAACCTGCTCCTTTGTGGGATCATGCTGCCATCAATTTACTTTAGTCCTCCAAACGTACTCAGATACATGTTTTCAGAAAGTTAAGATGAAAATTATATGGATGTAAGTCAAATTATAGGGGTTATTGGGGGGCAGCATTTAGGTAATTCCACAATGAGAAAAGAAATTAGTAAGCATTAAAAAATTGGAAAATGTAGTACCATGTTCAACGATTTGATATTAGGACATCCTGCTACCTCAACTATTTTCCTCTTTGAATTCTGGCTTCTTTTCAATTAATTTATGTCCAATATTTATATAAGGGAAATAATGCAAGTTTTTGAATGTTTGGAAAGGATGATATAAATAGTAGTAATCATATTTTATACTTTGTAAGTTGTTAGAGACATAAAACATGACTATATTTCAAATGAATTTTATGTTGAATCATTAAAGAAATAAAAAAGAACATACTAGTATTTGATTCTACCTTTTTAAACCAATTTTAGAAAGTTCCTTTATTAAAAATATTTTTAGTACTCCTGGACAATTATTTCAAAATATATTGTTAAAAATAAAAAAAACTTCTGCTATTTTCTTTGATTCTCAGAATCTTGTTAACAGTAAAATTTTTTATTTCTATCTGTATCTGCAATTTTTCCTGAAAAGTTTCCACTCTAGCTTTTAATTGCATAGTTTACTTGTATCATGGATTAGGCTATAGCCTTAATTCGGAACCACCTTTAACTGACTACTTTATTTGAGTTATTGCTTAGACTATATTCTAAAACCTTAAACAATTATGTATTTGATAAATTGTCATAACAACAGCTGCTGTTTTAATGAAAACATATGAGACAAACAAAATGTCAATTACTTTATATTTGTGCCACCGGCATTTCTCCCAACCATGTCACTGACCAAACAATACAGGATTAAAGGTAGAAATGCTTACTAGCTCAAAATCAGGTTGATTCAAATGAAAACTTAATGCCCTTTATTATTATATTTGATTTGGTGTTAGATTTGTTTCTTCTGCAATCTTTAAAGCATTTCCATTTAGTCGGATATTGACAGTCAATTGAGATGAGGGTAGCTCACTGGATTTGAAAGGATTTTCTCCCTAAATGAATTTGACTCTGTGTATGTAGCTAGTAAAAGAAAAATAAGGTGAATTTCTTAACAGTTTACTAAAACAATTTCCTAATGTATATTTAACTTTCCAACTTTGAAGACTCTCATTAAACAACTGGCAGCAGTTTAGAATAAAAAATAGTGAATGTTTATTTTAGCACTGGAGTCCCCATTTCTTGGCACAAGGGATTAGTTAGGTAGCTCACAGCTGCTGACATTGTAGAAGTCTCTGGATACTTCCCTAGAATGATTTGTAATGTTTGTGATCCATTCTGTTGAGAACAGGGGATATGTTAAAAATGAAAGACTGTCAGAAAATCAAAGTGCTTGCTTTGGGATTACAAAAAATTGTCGAGAAAGGAAGTAGCTTCTTCTGGCTTCTAACTTGACAGAATCTTCAGGTCAAGAGTAATAATCAGTAAATGAGAATTATACCTGGTGTAAAAATACAGATTAAAAATAGATCATAACCACCATGATAATCAGAGTTGTAATTAACTTGGCTAATACAACAAATACAGAAGAGCCAATCATTGCTAATGTGGACAGATCTTGTACTCCTTAAGTTTGGCTACAAGGAAGATGTATTTAAAACTTTTTAGGAACTGGGCAATAGTTACTCATGTGTGTAATCCTAGCCACCCAGAAGACTGAGATCTTAGGATCATAGTTCAAAGCCAGCTTGAGCAGGAATGTCTGTGAGACTCTTATCTCCAATAACCACCAAAAAAAGCAAGAAATGGAGTCATGGCTCAAGTAGCAGAGTATTAGCCTTTATCAGAAAAATCACCTAGGCCCTGAGTTCAAGTCCTGAGACTGGCATGCGTGCGCAAACACACACACACACACACACACACACACCCAGCAAAACACTTACTAGGGTTGGATGCAGCAATTCACACCTGTATTCCTATCTACTCAGGTGTGTAAAATTGAGAGGATTGCAGTTAAAGGTCAATATGGAAAAAAACAAACCCACAAAAACAAATACAAAAAGAAAACCCCTCAGTTCCATCTCCAACACATAAAAAACAATGTTGGAGCTATGACTCCAACAACAGAACAAACAAATTTATCAAGATAAAATATAGATTGAAATGAAAGATTAAATTTCAATTTAATCTTATTAATTAAATTTAATCTCATTAATTGTATTAAAATCAAATATTTGTTTATCTTAAGCTAAATTGTGTTCTTCTTTGATTTGAAAGGGTCAGAGGTAAAGATGGAAAGCATGAGGAGAATGGAGTGTCACTCTTGGCAATATTGTCTTTGATGCCTCCAAAGGGAATCCTAAAAACATACAATGCAGTTGGCATAGTGGCAGCATTTGGGCAGGTCAGTGCTGTATTGTTTAGTAAAAATACTCAACCTTAAAGAACTATTTATTAGGGAGAGGGGAGATGGGAAGAAATAGTAAGGGGAAACAAAGGAGGAGGCAACAATGCTTGATAAGAATGTAATTGTAACCCCTCTGTATGATATTTTCACACACACAAAAAAAAGATTAACAAAAAGAATTATTTACTGAGCATTTGAAATCCAGATGCAAAATTTTCTTAAAATTACATAAGCTATTAATACAGTATAATGGTGTATGTTTTGCAGGTCTGAATGAAAATGTCTTGCATCTTAGGACTTTGCATAGTCCATCTTGGAACATTGTGATTGTAAAGCTAAAGCTGGCATCAGATGGACTGCTTTCAGATGTAGGTCCTGAGTAGGGAATCAAGTCTTTAAATGGAAATTCAGCATGAATTAAAAATACATATTAGTGAAAAGACATTTCTCTGAATTGAAGTAGGTATGAAAGCAAACACTTTTGGGGAAAGAACTAACTAGTGAGTTCAGGGACTATTTTGAGTTATGACAAAATATGCTAAATTTCTGAAGCTATCTTTTTAGTACTGATGGGCTATGTAGACAGCAAAAGCATGAGAGTTGCATGAACCTTGTGGAAAAGAAAGAATGAATTGAAAACTGATTAGAAATTGATAATATTTGAGGAAAAATGAAAAATCAAAATTATGTTCAAATTTCAAAATTTGAGGGATGTGTGAGAAGCTATAAAGCCAAGGCAAATGGATGAAGTGGTTTGTAATTTCTAGATGAAAAGTCAAGTTTATATGTGAAACATAGAGAACATCACAGAAATGTCCATAGTGTTGGTGGGTAACCACAGCACACATGCTCAGTTGCAGGGTGATACAGGGAATTAACTTCAAAGAAAGAAACTGGAAAAATAAGTGGGAAAGGCTAGACTTTCTAGCAGAATTTTTCATGTTGCTAATTCCCCCTCTGGAGAAGAAATTACTAGTTGCTATGTGAAATCTTCATGATAAATGAAGGCTTCAGAGAGTCTCTGAATGTTCCAGAAATATTCTTGCTATTTAGAAAAAGCAAACTTTTTTCAAGGAATAAAATTCAGAACACAGGTAAAAGTTCACTTTTTCATAGTTTCAACTTATCATTAGTACAGGATTAGTCAGCTGTACTTTATGATAATAAAAAAGCTAAACCATCCCAAATCAGGAAGCTCATGATGTAGACTTGATTGCTCTTTACTCAAAGACAGTTTGGTTCAGAATTGATTGAGGTACTAATGAGTATAAAAGAAGGAAAAACATGTTTAGGGAGAGAAGCATGTGATCAATTCCATTATTAATTCTTTCTAAAGGCACTATTGAGCAATTTTTATCAGAAGCATGTATTTGTTGCAATTTTACTCATGAAAACTAAAACTGGCTTGTTATTTATTTAGTAGCTTCATTTCTTAATCAGGTAATAAACCAGCAAGGATAACATCATAGATATAATCATAGAAATAAGGCAAACATAGTCTAAAAAGATGATCCACAAATTGGAAAAAAATTAATTGACTCATTGTAACCAGCAATACAACTTTTATTTAAATAGAAAATAGAAAGAAAATAGAAAGGAAAAGAATAAATTCACAGTAGCCAGTTAATAAATCACAGCTTTTGAATGAGTACATTGATGAGATAAAAAAGAAATTCTAATTAATAATAAGTCTGATTAGGCTAAACTATTATTTTATGAACTTATTACTGACAGTATTTTATCAGAGGACAGAATTGTCATGGTGGAACCACTCGTATAAAATATTTAGCAGAATTCATCATATTATATAAAAATTATATTTTTTCAACAATGATTTCTTCATACAATATTTTCACTGGCTGATTCTTCTTTTTTCTCTTGGTTTTAATTAGTCCTTGTTTTGCTATTCTTTTCAGGTAACCTATAAGAGGAATAGAAAAAATTTCTGAGTGAAATGAAAGCATAATAAAATATTTCATCTAAAATTTCCTTAAATTGTATTCTGGTGTTATTCCTGAAGATGCATTTTCTTAACCTCCTTTCATAATAATATAGTGGAAGTTAAATGTAAAAAGGAGTGTGTCACGCAAGATCAGTGGCAGGAGGGAGAGGGAGTGGAAGGGAAAGGCACATGTGTGTAGACCTGTGTGCATGTGTGTGAATGCATGTGCATGTGTGTGAATGTATGTGCATGTATGTGAATATGGGTATGGAGACAGCAAAATGAAACCCATCAAACACTGGAAAAATGAGAGCCAGAGTATGGGAATATAATGGAGAACATGAACTTTTTCAAAGTCTACCATATCTGGAATTATCTTTTATGAATATTAACTTAAACACCAAATTTTAAAAAGTTAGCTTAGAGGCATTTTGTTATAATCCTTAAAAATAAATTCTTAGTATTTAGGCATTTAAGAAATAATAACTTGCATTGTTTAATTTTTTAATGACTTAGTAAGAGGAATTACTGTGAGCAAATTTAACAATATCTAAATCTAGTTGAAAAGAGCCTATCTATTAATTGAAGCATCATACTGTTATAACAATAGGCAAATAATTTCATGATCATTAAAATGTGTTCATAACTTCAAGGAAACTTATTCTAAACACTCATCAATGAGAAGAACTTCTGTACCTTTTTTACATGTCCTTATACATGCCCTTTTAGTAGTGAAATTGTTTTCATTTCCCCCACATCCGCTGTACTTAAAGAGATGGCATTTCCCAGTGTCTGAATTGAAGTAGAACCTGTTTACACTGGCATTGCACAGTCCTCTGTCTGCTGGTGTGAGACACCATGATGGGCCATGATATTCTAAAAGAATACCAAGAAAACATCATCAGATCTTTGTTATAGAGAGCCTGTAAAGTCTCTTATTACATAGTTTACAAATTAGAGTTTTAGGACATGTCTATATAAGACAATAATATTAATAATAAAAATAGTACATTATAAAATTCATGGTAGTTTCCATAAATCTAAACAGCCACAGTAATAACATCTTTAAGGCACTAAAAACTGGAGTCATTTGCTAAAGGGAAGTCCTATGATAACTTGGGCATGATTAAAATAGATTTAAACATTGAACTTTCAATGATTAACTACATACTTATCAACATACAAAAACAAAACTATGCATATTTATTTGCATAATGAAATAAACCACAAGTTTGGAAAAGATAGAATGGTCTGTCAATGGATCCAATGACTTTCAAGAACAGACCAGAAAGCAGAACTTTGACAATGACATACAGGAGAGTATTAGTTTCAGCGTGGTAGCAGTTTTTAAGTTCCTTTGGGAGTGTCTGTCAGTGAGGGGAAGCTGGTACTGTTAGCAGCCTGCAACTTCACTTGAGGTTAGTAAACTGATTCTCCAGGTAAGTTGGGCACTGCACAACCCATGCAGAGAAACTTGAGTGGTTTGCCACATGGTGAGGTGTGATACTACACAATTGCTAAATGGTCAACAGTGGCAAAAAGTGTCTAACTCCCAGGAATCCAGTAGTAAACAAAGGCACATAAATTGTACGGAAAGGAAGCACTATTTTGGTAAACTGATTTAGAGTAGTAAATTGTGAAAGAAAGAAAATGAAAAAAATGTGGAAACAATTTTAATTTGATAACACACTTTTATCATGTCCTGGTTTCTAGATAATTATGAAAAAATTACAGTGTTGTAATATACTAACTCATGTAATACAGGAAAAATTAAACATTATTAGAAATAAACATTATTAGAGTAAACATTATTAGAAGTGTAGATGAGAGTAATAACTTAGATAACTTTTTTTGGTCAAAATTCAAGAACTGTAATCAGGTAATGAATATTATTTTATTGGGGTTTTTAGATATATAAACATTGTCTTTGAAGGAACTCATAAAGTCTTTAAATTAAACATTAAACAAGTAATAACTTTATCCAACATGACTACTTTTATGTTTGTTTTTTTGGGGGTCGGGTCGTGGGGTCTGAACTCTGGGCCTGGGCGCTGTCCTTCAGTTCTTCAGCTCAAGGCTAGCGCTCTACCACTTGAGCCACAGTGTCACTTCCGGCTTTTATTCTTTTTGCTTATGTGGTGCTGAGGAATGGAACTCAGGGCCTTTTGCATGCAAGGCAAGCGCTCTACCACTGAGCCATGTTCCCAGCCCCTTTATGTATATTTTAACAGGATTGAATACCATCATGTCTTTGGAGAAAATATGTTATAAAGTTTCTATAAAATATTGATATTTTTCATCACTAATAATGGCTTCTGTGAGGGAATTTTGTGGATAATGCAGGTATGTTGTAATTGCAAATTACTCCAATGTGTCTCCTATGGGTTTTTATTACATAACTTAGAATTTGAAATGATTAGCAGCTACAACTTTATCATATAACTTGTCAAGGCTATTACCCATGTCTAGAAACAAAACAGACTAGAGGCACCCGGCCTTATTTGAGAAACTGAGAAAATTGTTTCTCTTTTTATTGTTTTCTCAACAAGAATGTATGGTTACTTCATAATAAATATATATATATATATATATATAAGACAACACATAAACTACATCTCAATTTCACTTCAGCATTTTGGACACAAGATGTTTTAGCCCACTAAGTTGTAGATGATATATGTATAAACTATGTTCTTTACAAATGTCTTTTATTAGGTCTTAGAAGCAGTCCCTTCTCTAACACCCCATATTCCAGGACACAGAAAATTTTATTTTACAAGGATCCAAACACTGCTCCCTCACCCCGTAAGACACAACCCATGATAAACCTAGCCTTAAAAAACAAACAAAGCCAATTCTATCTGGGCACTGGTGGCTCACACAAAGCTGGCTGGGGCAGGAAAGTCAGTGAGATTCTTTATCTCCAATAAACTACCAATGAGGCAAGAAGTGGAACTGTATAGTACTACCCTTGAGCAAAAAGCTCCGTAATAGAGCTGGTCCCCTGAGTTCATGCACCAGGACTGGCACACATGAGAGATCACACACACACACACACACACACACACGCGGCAATCCTGTTTCAAAGGGAGGACAAGCAAGCCTGGTATAGTAGGGACAATAGATTCTGACCTACAAGTCAGAGAACTAAAGACAAGAATACAGGTGAAAACTAGGACCATATCAGCCCTTTCCAACTCCATACGGGCTATGACATAAGTGAAAATAGGGAACATGTAGGCTGTAGATTCTGTCTTCCTGTGACCATCCATCAATGCAACAACGTCCACTATCAATGAGACCTACTCAAAAGTCAGAGGAAAATGTTCTCTAGAATTCAGAACAGGGCTGGGGGCAGAGGGAAAGCAAGGGTTTGGTTGTAAAGCAGACTTACATAGCATAGATGTTATTTCTCAATCTCACTTCTGTTTAATTACCCAAGCAATGTTTTACTTTGACCTGATACTCTTTGTGACTGGTACATCTGAGTGTCTGGTAGGCTTCCCCTCAGCCTGGGATGTGTGTGCAGATATGCACTCCTCCGCCTTGGTGTCTCATACTTCTTTCCTACCCTGCTTCATGCCATCCTGATGCACCTTCTTGCCTACACAGATAAACAGTCGCAGCTTCTTCCTCACCAAAAATGATGTTCCTAACATTAGAGAGAATATTTCCATAACTCGAGATTACTCACAAGGGATATTGTATTTTATCATAGGTAATTTTAGATTTTTTTGTTGTTGTTGGTCGGTCGTGGGGCTTGAACTCTGGGCCTGTGTGCTGTCCCTGCGCTCTTCAGCTCAAGGCGAGTGCTCTACCGCTTGAGCCACAGCACCACTTTCGGTTTTCTAGTGGTTTATTGGAGATAAGAGTCTCATGGACTTTCCTGCCTGGGCTGGTTTTGAACTGTGATCCTCAGATCTCAGCCTCCTGAGTAGCTAGGATTACAGGCGTGAGGCACCGGCGCCCAGCTAAAAATGTAATAGATTACCATGATTTTGCAAGTTTTATAAGATATCACTCTTTAGAAATGTGAATTGCATAGGATAAAGATACAATTTTGAACGTTTGAACAATAAGATTATTATTGGATTACTATAGCATTAACTATAGTAGAATAAAAGTAAGGAGATAGTTTCTCCAGGCCATTTTAGCTCTAGGAATTTTTGAGTTCTTGATTAATACTGTGAAATCTCTAGAGATAAGATTTTTTAACCTCATGAGGTTATAAATTTAATTTGTAAATTAGCACATTTATTCTAAATATATATGTATGTATATATGTCTCTGTATAAGAACTCACCTATTCAAAAATCCAGATTTTGTCATCTATAATGAAAAAATATAAAGGTTTTGAAGTATATAATATAACTCTTTCTGGCCTAAATTATAATTATTAACAGAAATTTTAAGATAGAATAAAAAGCACTAACCTGGCTTTTGTTCCTTTTCCCTAGGAAATGTAATAACAAATGCATTCAGTCACTGAGAGCAAGATGAGCAGCTTCCACCTGAAGGGGTTTTGATAGGTTCTACAATTCAGGATCCCTTGCCTTATAAATTTTATTTCTTCTGGTAGGAACCCCTATGAAGTAGTTTAACCGCTAAAATGTGAGGTAATACTCCAGAGTTAATTTTATAAATGTCTACAATAATCTTTGAGCCTCATACTCTACATTTTTATAGTGTATTCCCATTTTACCTGCTCTTACAACTTAGGAGACAATTCATAATTTGCTAAGTAATTTTTTTTGAGTTCTAAGTCTTAAAGAATTGAATAGTGATGCCTTTTACTTATTTTCTCCTGTATTTTTATAGTAAAGGGAAGTATGAATATAAAATTGTTATGAATTTTCTTTGAAAAATAATATAAAAGCATAACAAATATAAAGTTTCTCGATAATTTGATTGGTGCACTTAAACTACAATTGGTAGTTTGGTAATGAGAGCATCTATTAATACGCTCATTTACATCTTTATTTCTTTTGCTATATTTCAAAATATTTAGTGGATATGTCTCTTTATTTTTATGCAACTATACCTCTTTCTTGATATATGCACAGTATTACATTTCATTCATTGATTTCTATATAGATGATTGATTTATTGACTCATGAATATATAGACTATTTCAAATAAGTTTTGTTTCTCAGTTCCAGACAATAGCTTATGAACATTCTTGTAAACTAGTCTTTATACTCCTAGATGAGATATTTTAAAAGTATAAGATTTATATCAAAGCTACATTTAATTGATAACTTCGTAGATGTTGCTGGCTTTTCCAATAATATTTTTGTTAGTCTTCCAGTTTAATAAATAATATTTAAAAGGTATCTAAATATTATTTAACAAATCAAAGACCTCACTGAATATTTGTATTTATAATTCATCACTTTTCTTCCTCCCACACAAACAAAATTGGAAGGTTACTACAGACAAATAATTGCTTAGAACATCTCAAATGTTTTGCAAAATATCACTTACATAGAACTAAGGTGCCTTACTTCATGTACAACTTACAAATTTAGAAAGATACATAATTAGTTATAAGCTCTGTGATTACAAGAGCATTAAGATGTTGCAAAATATGTATCTTAAAATCAATAAAATATTTTATCACATTTTACATATGATAAAATAATAATTCCAGCAGCCACTTCTTGTCATTTACCTTAATTGTTTCATGGGGGGAGGTCAAAAAGAAAGCAAACTAAAAGAAATAAGAAATAGTAAAATGAATTATCAGATAGTGTTGATACTGATACTATGTAATACTATGTAATGTGAGTAATACTAATACTATGTAATGTGAGAATTGGCCAAATTTTTGTTTTCTGTTTTTTATATTTTCTCTGTGTTGTCTGAAATTTGAATAA